CATAAATAAAACGGCACCTTTATTAGGACCTATGAATGCTTGCGGGACCCTCATTACATTGACATTGTCTCTTGTACAAGAAATGCACTTATACGGGATACAATGGAATGATTTACTCCAATAATAAATAATTCTGTCAGCATAGCAAATATACACTGTTAAACAGGAAACTACCGCTTAAGTATATAAACTACGAGTAAGTTTAAAATAAGAGGCAAACTGTTTATTTTTAATAATCAAATGGCGTGTAGGGTGCTGATCACGCTACAACAGGCTTTGTTTCCAATTAAACTTTACAACTTCATAAATTTTCGAAATTATTTCGATTTAGTTTCGCAGTGCGGCGGCGTCCGATTCGCAACGTTTTAATAAAATATTAAATAAGCGACAGTTATGTTATTGGCAGGCAATCGGAAATACTTGTGACAAAAGGTCGTAAAACGAAGAGCCCGCTTACCGCTTTTAATATAAAATGAATTATGGAATACTCGGCAGCTACCGAATGCCTTTTCACTTATTAGAAACGGCATTGTTTATAGGTACTTCTTCGGGTGATGGCAGTTAAAATAAATCGTTGCGCAATGTTTATGGATTTCTCGTAGAACAACGGGGGGAATAAACGGAAATTATGAAAACCTAGGCCATTATTAATCTTATGACAAGTTTATTTATAATATTTAATACTTAGGCTACCATTTACCATTGTATAACATGGAATACTATTTTTAGCAGACTGTTCAGTGTTTGTATGATCATTGCATAACAGGCCCGCTTTCATTAATTCTGATAAACAGGAATTTGGTGACAGGTAAGCTTGGTAGCAAACAGTAGTAGTGCAACCGAGTTTGTAAATACATGAAATTGTATTGTATTTCAATCGGCTATAGCTCTTGGTAAATTCCTCAAGGAATAAAGGAAGGAAAAAAAACAATAATATTTATTAATTAAAGAAACTGTTATTACTCACTTAAAGGCCCCGCTGCAAGAAAAATACACAATAGTAAATGGGGATGAGGCACCTGAAATGGACAAATGCCGAGTTGTAAAACCTAACTGGGAATGAGTTCATAAACTTTCATATGACGACAAAATATAACCTAACATTAACTCGTTCAAAAAAACCTTCCCTTCGTTGATTTACTATCAAAAACGCAAGGATGAATACACGCTACACATTGCTTGCTCGTTGTGCGCTTCGCTATTTATATTAGGCCAAAATGGAACCAACGCAATTTTTGAGATTGACGTCCCCGTTAAACTAATAGCAGATCAGCATATTTTGTTTACACCCCATTTTTCGTCTCGGCTAAACGGAACCACCGCGTCAGTGAGGCTCGATGCTGTCTTGGTAACGACCCAAACGTTCTAGATGCGTACGTTTATCGTTGATAACTTAACACGCGCCTTCTATACGTACAAAACGGTATATATGCAATGTTTACTCATAGAAAATTTGGGAAAAATTTTAAACTCAAACCGGGATCCCGTTACACTGCTACCGAAGAAATAAATAAAATAATTATGAACTTGTAGTGTAGTTAACCCCCAGGACCTACGCTAACTTCACACTACAACCAGAACCACACAGCAACGTTTAAAAATCAATGTGTAATCGGTTCCAACTTCAAATGGCAAAATCGTATGCATTCCTTTAAATTCAAATTATAGCCTCCAACATGAGAGAAAAGTGTATATCTCGTTCCAAACCAATTCGAAATCACACCAAATGCGGTTAATCGCCAGAAAAGTAATAGTTAAAAAATTTCGCAATAAAACCGACATTCAAAAATGGATACAACTGTGAAACATATTTGCACGTTCAGTGAAAACTCAAGAAAAAAAAGAAGTGCGTCAAGACTGTATCTTAAAAATGTACACCAATCGGAGCTCGTTAAACTAAACCAGCTGCCACAACAGTGGTCCTCAACCAAAAATTGCAGTGATACTCGACCAATAATAATGTATATATGGGTACCTGAGAATTGATGCTGTGGTAGGAACCAATAATTTTGAAAGAGCACGCGAATGAGCTACGAAAAATTGGTTCTTGCTAATGCATTCTGTGAATCACGATCTTGATTAATATCTTTGAGTATAAGACAAAAGCTTTTAATTCGTTGATTTATTGAAATGCTATTTCTCGTTGGTATCAAATGCCATTGGACTATTCTATATGTCCGTACGCTTCCTAAGAAAGATGGATGGTCTCTTGCATAGGACTTTTTCGTGTATTTAATACCACATACAGAATCACGTTTGTTAAAAATTATCTATTTTAGATACTTTCACGTAGAATCCACTGGCGTGGTCAGAAAAATGTTTGCCCATCGTTTCTGAGAAATTTGATCCAGTATTGGTATTTTTTAAATGCCGGTATATCTTAACCTCAATTATATAAAAAACATTGTGATACATCAGTGTAATCTGAAAAAATAATCCGAAAATTGACGAGAATTGAGACATACAGGGTGTTGCATTGGAAAAATACCAAATCTTAGAAACGGTGGTTAAACTTTTTATGACTACGCCACTGCATTCTACGGAAGCGTATCAAAAATAGGTAGTTTTGACCTTTTTTTTTAATCTTACATCGGTAGTCTGATACAATAATATCCCAAAAACCGCGAGTCTGTATCTAAACAGCTGAGATAGACTGTAGTCGCAACCAACATAGGACACACTGTATAGCAGGCTTGTCAAACTCATTTATCGCCAAGGGTCATTTTAAGGTTTCCACATACAGCTGCGGGCCATCTCAGCTGTTTTTAAAAATAAGAGACGTGCGGTTTTGGGGACCCAGTGCCATTTTTTTTGTTACACACAACACAATCAAACAGAATCAATCTAATTAAGTGCGTTTGTTTCTTATTAGGTACAGGGTAACGAAAAGGTTGACTTTTTGGGATGTTATCAATCATACTTTACTACCGATGTACGATAGGAAAAAAGGGAAAAACTGCCTATTTTAGATATTTTTACGAAAAATCCAGTAGCGTAGTAAAAAAAATTGAATCACCTTTTCTGAGATTGGACCCAAACTTGATATTTTTTAAATGCAACACCATGTACCATGTACGTCAATTTTTTGCATTTCTTTTTCGTGATTACATTAATGAATCATCCTATATTTTTTTTAATTAAATATATTTTTCAAAATAACATGGTTCTACCGCCCGCCATTTTTATTGATTGACATCGGCTGCCTTAGTTACCATGGATACAATAAACAGAACAAAATCTCCATGTATCCATGGCCTACTATTTAAAAAAGTAAAAAATAAGGTTTTTATTAATTTTCATCGGTAAGATTAAAAAAATATATGTTGTGATACAGCAATGTAATCAACAGGAAAAGGTATGAAAAGCAATTCGTACCAACTTTGGATCAAATTTCAGAAACGGCAGTCCAAAAGTTTTTTTTTTTACTACGCCAATTCTATATAACAATATCTAAAATAGCCAGTTTTTATCTTTTTCTATCTTACATCGGTAGTAAGGTACGATAACATTCCAAAAAGTCAAAATTTTCGATTTCACCCTGTATCTAAAAAAAAACTGTTTGGGGTATTATACGTCTCACTAAAAAGTGGCCGAGAGTCGCGAAAACCGCAAGTTTCTACCTTTAAAAACACTGCAGTCTCAACCAAAATAGGACACACGGTACAAGTAAATGTTATAATTTGCAAACATTGCTATGGGCCGCAGGTTGCAAAACGACGGGCCGCGTGTTTGACATGCCTGCTGTACAGGGTGTCCCATTAATAAAGGTCACAGGCCATATCTGTGGAACCGGTAATTGCACAACTTCGGGGAAAAAAATTCGTTAACAAAAGAGGCCAAGAGAAATCGCTGGAAATTATTTCCGAGTTTTTAGATTTGTCGCTAGAGGGCATACGATTCATGGTTAAGTAAAAATGACTTTTTCCTAAAACATACCCAACAAACATGCATAAAAAATACATACATTGCAATCTAATCTAATTATATCGCTTCATTTGAAATTTTCAAAAAAACCTGCAAAGTTTGTGTTAATGTCACATCGCGCCCTCTACCACTCATCCCATTCATTCAGGTAAAATCTGATTCCACGAAGAGAGCTCTTTCCAACAAGACCTATTATGTGAAAATCTGTTAACCTAAACCTAAACCGAAGTTACATTCAACTCCTTAAAGAGATGTTCCCCTTCCCCTACCCCTCATATTTTATGAGTTAGAGCAAATATGTGCTGCATCAAAATGATGCAAAATTGATACAATATTGCTACGCATGTATTTTTTATGCATGTTTGTTGGGATATATTTTAGGAAAATTCATTTTTCTACTTAACCATGAATCGTATGCCCTCTAGCGGCGAAGCTAGAAACTTGAAAATAATTTCTAGCGAATTCTCTTGGCCCCTTTTGTTAACACAATTTTTTCCCGAAGCTGTGCAATTAACGGTCCCATAAATATGGCCTGTGACCATTAGTAATGGGACACCCTGTACATCAATACAATGTCTGTGCGCTTAAAAACTAAAAAATGAGCACAGTACTTTTTAGGTACACGTACTTTTTAAATTAAATTGTTATTTTTTATTATTCCGTTATAGCGTACCTAGTTCACTATTACGCTTTTTGTTATAAATACCACGCATTGAAAAGGTCATGTGATTTCTAAAATTCAAGGGTAACTCATCCCCTAAAAGTGCGAGCGCTGGAAATTTATTTGAATTAACCTTAATAAATTGAACTCAATTCGTCCAGTGTTTATTTCTCACTCCCCCTCAATTGTGTACGTAATCAACCCTAATTCGCTTCCCACTCACTTACACTGTCAAGGTCAATTAGTCAGTCGCTCGTGCCGCATGTCCTACCGATTTTTAATTGAAAGTTAGACACGATCGCCGATTCCACGAACAGTGATTTGTATGTAGATGAATCACGCGTTCGATTAAATTGTATCGCTATGTACTACCACTACTGGCATCGGGGGCCGAAGGTGCGTCTCCAGTAAACGCGACAGTTCAGTCAGTTGTGGCTCGGTCGATGTACTTTGTAAACGGGGAGATGCTGCTGCGGTGTCGGTCGTGTTTTTACGTCATCGATTATGATTGATGATGACCTATTGTCGTTACGCAAAGGTTACCTACCCCCGCGTTTTTCCCCGGTCGCACGTGTATTTAAATACCGTTCCCTTAACGCCTAAGCGTATGTACACATGCCGGTTCCATTTTAGCGACATTCACTGACGGAAATTCGTGCGCTCCGATTTCTATTTATATCAACTTGTTTATTTTGGTTCCCTTATGTTTTGTAAACGTCCAAAATCCGCCAGTTGCACTGGGCGTTCCCGCGCGGTCAATTTCGATTTCGCACACGTCGAAATGGTGGTCGGCGAGCGAAAAACAGGTTGGACGGGTAGGATTTTTATAGCGCGCGCGGTGGGTGACGGCTTTTAATTTACGAAACCGAAAGTGTGCAAAAGCTGGTGAGAAATGAACTGCTACTTTTTGTCTGTAAGGTCGACCACTTGTCGTTTCAAACATCTGATGCCGATGTGGGACACACATTTGAAGCACATTTGCCCATTCAAGAATTAACAGTTCTGTGATGTCATTCAATTTTTGATAAATCGGGACTCGTCGGTAATTAATTACGTCATCGACATGAAAATTTTCGCCAACTTAAAGGTCTTTGATGTTAACTTTATAATTTAATAGGAGTTTGTTGTAAAGGTCAGGTTAGTTCCCTAATTAGCTATCCTATTGAACATAGGAGCCTACTTACCTACCTTGTATTCAATTAATTTAAGCAATGGAGAATGGAACTTCTGAGAGACACTTGTGCCTAATTTTGCTCCCCCACGTTTATGAACAAAGCACAAGGTAAATGGTAATGTCATTTTTTAGTTCTGATACAATTAATTAAAAATGTAATTGGAAAGGCTAAGGATATTTCAAGTTTTGTTTACATGACCAAGGCGAATACCGGTACTGTCGCAAATGTCACAAAAAGAGCTCCTCCCTTGAAATCCTCCAATGGGTGTTTAATCTGCTTTCAAAACCGACGTGCCAAATGCGTGTGAAAGTTTTAATTACGGGTTCGATTTCTGATTATTATAAGACAACTTTTTTGTGGTAAAACTGGTTACCTTATCCTTCGTCTTTTAGCACCCTCCCCACAGTACTTACAAGTTATTGGAAATCATTCTTTTTTACTTGCTAGTCACATTTAGGGAATGCTAAACCAATACGATCAAGGTCCCAGGACCAACTCAAATGGCGGATTCAGTTAACTATAGTCGAGAGGAAAATCCCAAGGGACATCTTAGTTAGATACAGTAGTAAATGACCTAAGAATATCCGACATTTACACCGATATTCAATGATGTTCTACGGATATCTGAGGGTGTCGTCCGTGGAATTCAGAGGAGTTGGGCAAATACGTCACGCCCTAATTTATTTTTGTCCCAACCCCAACTAACCCAAAATATAAACTGACTACTGAGATCTCAGGTTTTTAAAGTTTTTTTGAAATATCTATACTTTCCTGACAAATGCGTCCTAGTTGTTCGTATTTCGCATCCTTGCGAATGGGCCCTTTCTTAAATTCGCTTCCTCCGGCCTCTCATATACAGGGTGTTTTTTTGGGAGCTTTACTTAAACGTTTCTGGGAAAGTAAAATAGGTAGGTTTTTAAAAATTTGTACTTAGGAGTTACTCTGAAGGTCGAATCGATGTAAAATATTTTCAAAATGGCCGCACTTCCGGAAACACCGGAAGTAGATAGTAACTTCGTTATTTTAAATAGCAACCTCTATTTTTTGTAGGATTTTGGATTCTACCTGAAATTTCAGTTCTTTTGATACCCATATGTCGATAAATGTCATTAATGGTTTTTAAGTTATTTTGACTTTAAGAAAAAAAATGGCGGATACAGATGGTACCTTGATAATTAATTACTTGAAAACGGTTATAGTCATGGCAACCTATTTTTATCAGTGCATAGAGAATGAATAGGGCTTTTTTTAGGTCAAAAAGTTAAGTTGCGTACGACCGCCCCTATGAAGATCCAAATTTTTCTTACTATTGCATGAGATAAAGAATCGAAATTGGCAAATTTTGATAAAGATAGCTATAGGAACATGTAATATCAAAATATGCCAATTTCGATTCTCTATCCCATGCAATACTAAGAACATGCTCATTCCATTAAAAAAAACTGAGTTTATAGACTTTGAAGTTTCTTTAATTTGGATCTCCATAGGTCCGGTTGTACGCAACTTAACTTTTTTTAAGTGCACTCAAAAGAAAGCCCTATTCATTCTCTATGCACTAATAAAAATGGGTTCCATGACTATAACCGTTTTCAAGTAATTAATTATCAAGGTACCATCTGCATCCGCCATTTTTTTCGTAAAGTCAAAATAACTTAAAAACCATAAATAACAGATATCGACATGTGGGTATCAATATAACGTATTTCACGTAGAATCCAAAAATGCAATAAAAAATAGGGGTTGCCATTTAAAATAACGAAGTTACTATTTGCTTCCGGTGTTTCCGGAAGTGCGACCATTTTTAAAATATTTTACATAGATTCGGCCTTCAGAGGGACTCCTTAAGTACAGATTTTCAAAAACCTACTTATTTTACTTTCCCAGAAACGTTTAACTAAAGCTCCCAAATAAACACCCTGTATAGTGTCTATTTAGTCTGCAAAACAGTCATCATTTATTGTTGGTTTTAGTGGGCCAGTACGTATATTAGCCGATGTACCGTGTGTCCTACTTTGTTCGGGTCTGCAGTGTATCTCAGCTGTTTTTAAAGATAGAGACTTTCGGTTTTCGCGACTCTTGTCACTTTTTATCTCTTAATAACACAAACAGAATCAATCTAGCTACGTTTGTTACTGAGATACAGGATGAAAACGAAAAGTTTGGTTTTTTCTCGGTTTTTTTGGAATGTTATCATATCTTACTGTCCACGAAGTAGAAAGATATTTTTGCGTAGAAGCCAGTGACGTAGTTTTTCGACTATCGTTTCTGAGATTTAACCCAAAGTCGGTATTTTTTAATTGCAACACCCTGTACATCTTAACGCCAATTTTTTGCATTCTTTTTCTTGATTACATTGAGGTATCAGAACTTATATTTTTTTTAATGTATGAACGAAAAATAAAAACCGTATCTTTTACGATTTTTAAATAGTATGGATGGATTTATGGCACTTTTGTTTATTGTATCCATGGATGGTAACTCTAAGGCAGCCGATATCAATCAATGCAAATGGTTGACGGTGGAAACGTGTCATTTCAAAAATTTGATAAATATGATATAACCTCGGATATAACAGAATATACAGGGTGTTCCTTAAAGATATGCTAATATTTAAGGGGGTGATTCTTGGACCGATTTTAACAAAACACGTTTTAATTTTTGAGATACAGGGTGGTAAAGTTAACAAAAATTAGTTTTTTAATAATAACAGAGATAATATTGTAGACATCTTTATGAAATTTGATACATGTCTTCTATGCATCAAGATGCATTTTCTGATGTGCAAAAGTTTTTATTTTCTCTACCAGTGGTGTCCGTACGACTTTTGCATTGAATATTTTTGGAGAAAAAAAACTACGCCACTGCTTTCTCTTAAAATAAAAATTATTTTTTAAATCTTCATTCATTTTTGAACAAATTTGATCTTTTGATTTTGTTTTGTCCCAACGCATGGTTTTCCCTTAAGAAAATAAAAATCGTTTTACTTCAGGATCAATGTCCTAAAAATAATGCGTCGGACAAAGAAAAACTATTGAAAAATAAATCATCAAATATAAAATGAATATGATAACCGCGCATTTTAAAATATTGAGAATTTGTTTTTGCAAAAATATCGAAGTCCTATTTTACACGTCCTTTTCGAGTCGAGTCCTACTCCGTCGTCGAAATTGGAACGCCCTGTACAGTAATATCTTGTCTGCAATCTTGAGCCAGATAGAAATATCTTCTTCAACTATCAAGTCTTGCCTTTTTCCCAACGAAAATCGCGACTAAATTTTTACTAGCAATGTAACAAGAAAGAGACCAAGATAAATATTTCGTTGCGTGCCCTCAACGTTTGAACCATTGATTTAGTTCGCTCACTTTGGGCAAGCTAACAAAATTACCTTGAGGCACACGGTAAGCTCAGGCAAAGTAGAGGTGGGTCGGGGTGAATATCAGGGTTCTTGTCCACAAGCAAAAATAAGCAAAAAGGCAGAAGTAGTAATAGTAAACCGGATAGGTGCCACTTAGTATTTACTGAATGTCAAAAAAGAAGTGAGAATACTTACTAGAAGGGAAAACAACAAGGCACACTAAGAGACCCATGTTCTGGTCTTGAAACGCTAAAGAAATAAAGTCGAGAATAAAGTACTTGGTAGGGATAAAACATAAACAATAATTCACGTCATCAATCGCGGAAATTCAATAAATTATCTCAAAAATATAACAGAAAACAACGGAGTTATAATTGTTAAGTGGATATCAAAACCGAGATCTAAACAAATGTAATAATTACAATTCGATTGTACGGAAAATCAAACGTTAATCAAGGAGTAGACGAAAAATAAAAATTTACTTTTGAACTTCGGGTCGCAACCTTGTGAGCTCAGAAGCGCGGGTTCTGCAAATCTGTAACAGATAACAACACAACAACCAAATTAAAGAGTATTGCGAAATACCAATGTCTAACGTCTGAAACGGAGGCAATCGTATATTAAACTGTAATTACTCAATAAGAACAATAATTTGAATGCCGTTACTCTTGCAAAAGCAAAATTTTGATTAACCACAGGTTATCCTTACAAAAATCTGTATAAAAGCATAAACGTGACTTCAAGAAAAGTACTTTACGATGCACAAATAACTAAATTTCTATTGATCCAATTAATTGAAAATGTAAATAAGCTAGTACGAGCAAATTCTTCAGAGTAAACAGATAACGTACTTGAAAAATCATCGAAATTGGTCTCGGACCAAGTATCTGTAACTTCAACTGCACTTATTTACACAACAACGGTACTAATATCGGTATCACACAAGTAATATAAAGGAGATGAAACGTAGTCAAGCTAGTACAATTGAATCTTCGGAGCAATATAGA